TTTCTTCTCCTTCTCCTTCTCCTTCTCCTCCTTCTCCTTCTCCTTCTCCTTCTCCTTCTTCTTTCAATATAGGGTCTTGCTACACAGTTCAAACTCATAGTGATCCTCCTGTCTCAGCCTCCCCAGCACTGAGATTACAGGCATGTGCCACTATGCCTGGTTCTGGGGCCGGCACAGCATGCAGTACTGGGAATCAAACTTGGGACCTTGCTGTCCCCAGGCAGGTGTTTGTGCCACTGAGCTATCTCCCCAGCCCCAGCCACCCCCATCTTCTCATCAGCACATCTACCATCAACACCGATACCACTGCTCTTTCCATTATTACCAGCACTACCAGGACCACCACCATCACCATCATCCCAACCAACACCAGTACCATGCCATGGTGTCCTGAATAAGCTACAATGTCCAGGGCTGGATGATGGCCATCAAGGGACTCAGGTCTTCCTGGACAAACAGCTTGGGATGGGAGAGGTGGGAGCAGTGACATTTCCCCACATGAGAGCAGCCCCTGGAGGTAGGGGACGGGAAGGCTGTGGCTTTCTTTGGGAGAATGAGCCCCATGTGCAGCACTTTTGGCTCTGCAGATGTGATGCTCGTTGCCATGGTGACTGTCCTAACAATAACCTCTCAGAACTGATATTCCCCACAACCGCCCCAGCTGCCACCTGGGAGGAAGAGCCCTCCTTGCTTACGAAAGCGCGCAGAAAGGACAAGGTGGGAGGAGAGATGACACAGGTGGGAGCGAAGAGGGCCCTTCCTGAGGGGAGGGGGAAGGGAAGGCGTCTGGGCCTCTCCCACACAGGGTCAAAGATGGCACAAGGGCTCCTGAGGACTGGGTCAGAGGCAGAGCTGGAGAACTGCCACCGTGAGGGAGGAGCCCTATGGGGCTGGCAAAGGCTCCTGACCTCCCTGCCTGGTCAGGCAACTTTGCATCCTGCTTGAAGGCTCTGTCCAGAGGAGGGGTTCTGGTGGGGCTGCGTTCAGGAGTAGAGAGGGGAGGATCATCCCTAAGTAACTCCCAGTGTTTTGTGGTCCTGGAAGCCTCTCTGCCCTGCTTGCTCACCTGTGGCTATAGGAGGCAGTGTGTGTGAATATGTGTGCATAGGTGTTTCCGTGTGTTTATGTGTATATTTGTGTGCATATGACTGTATGTGTGTGTGTGTTTGTATCAACGTGTATGTGAGAAAAGGCAAGTGAGGCTTTATGTTCAGTGGGGATTGAGCCCCAGCCACCTGTTGGCTGTGTGACCATGGGGCAGGTCACCTGGCTACTCTCATACCCTCTAATGAAATGCAGGTAATAATAACAGGACTGAGAAAGACACGAGGAAACCGTGTGAAATGCATGCAGGCAGTGCCAGGCCAGCTGTGCTGGGTGCAAGCCCTGTCCTCTCCTGGACTCTTGTCCATCCCCTTGGGGAAGGGAGGGGGTGACTCACTCTCCTCCTGCCTCTTCGGGATCAGACACAACCAAGACCAAAGTGCCATCTACAGTCTTCCTGTTTGGGGTGGCCCTGGGTTTCCCTGGGTTCGTGCCTGGTGCTGAGAGCACGGGAGCCCCAATGGGGCCTCTCCTCCTCCTGCCTGGCCTGCTTAGCCCTGTCAGGGCCAGGACTCCTTTGCTTGGTCAGCTGGGGGCTCATCTGGAACTCACCTTGGGTCTCTTGCCTCGGATCCCCGGGCCAAGGACTGGCAGCCTTGTGCCAAATACATCCCCTTGGGGAAGGGTCCAAGAAGCCTCCTTTCTTCTTTCCCGAAAAAAGGACACTTTTTGTGGTCCCAGGAAGTCCTGGACTGAGTGGCCAGGCCTCGAATCTGTCCCCAGACAGCAGCAGCCAACGCTACCCAGAGCTAATGGAGACCCTTCCTCTTGGCTTCGGGGCACTTTCAAGAGGGATTTGGGAGGAGGAGCGCAGCATGGATGGAGCTGGGGACCTGTGTGTCTCCTACCAGGTAAGGGTGACTGTGATTTCTCAGGTCCAGAGGCCCTTCCAGGACTGCCTCTGTTTTCCTGGCTCAAGGCCTCTGCACCTGGACTGCAGGTGTCCGTTCCTGGGCCTCAGGGACCCCAGACATAGATCCTAAGGGAAGGGAGCGATGGGTACCTCACGGAGGGAGCCTAGCCCGGGAAGCTCTTGGCTCAGTGGGGGCGCAAGGGGTCCTAGTGATGGAGACCGGGAAGGGCTGTGCTGAACCAGTCTTGGGGACAGTGGCACAGGAACATCCGCCCCCATCCGTGGGCTCTGGTTCCCTCTGGCTGTCCTGAGAAGTGGCCTGGGGGTGGGGGGAGAGAAGAGGCGTCAGGCTTCCTGCGCACGGTCCCCAGAGCGCAAGGGCAGGGGACTGCGGGGCGCAGGGCGCGGGGGCGGGCGCTGGCTGGCCCCGGGTGGGCGCGGGGGCCGGG